CAAGGTGGCTGGCTGCCTCTGTGGGAGGAAATTTTTTTGGATGGTGTTATCTTTACCCGCAGGACGTCTGAATGCCAGTAGGCATTCGTGGGGGGCTCCTTTGTTGTCCCCGCGCAGTTTATTCGCTCATGGGAATTGAACTGCCAAGCTGCCGACTTCAGCAATATGCAAGCCCAGCATCTTATCATGCGAGCCACTGCGGCCCCAATTTTTTATTGTGAAATCTCAGAGCTAAGTATTTGAAGATCTGACAAGAATAAAAATTACCCTCCTTCAAAAGTTGTTTTGACCTTGTAAGTTGCAATTTTATGAAGGTCAACCTCTGAACCCAGTGGTAGACTCATCGAATTGGATTGTTTATATAACATGGTCTAATGTCTGCTCAGTACAGAAATCCAAATTAAACCATCCCTATTGATGGCTTTTCATGATCGTATAGAATGTTGGTTCTATATAATATAGACAAATAGAATTATATTTATAATATTTAGATAAAAATGAGTTGGAAAAAAAGTGACTTTCTTTTGAACCACAGATGAAAATTCATGTAAGCAAACACGAAGTGATAATGGTTAGTGTAATGGGAATTGCAGTTTAATGAAGTCTGTGATTGCAAATGGTTTTTTATTGTGAAAGGTTACGCAACACTAAGCAACAATAAAATTATTAGGCTTTTTTAAAGGGAAGACTTGATTTTGATTCAGTACTAGCATGTAAACTTTAAAAATAAAATAGGTTTTATGGCATGAAAAAGTGCAGTTGCTATTTTATGCAGTGTTTAAAGAGATGTGTTGTTTGTTTTGCTGTTTCAGTAAATTATGCTAAATCCTAGATATTGGATATTTTTCTTGTGATGAATACAAAATATATTTAATACCAACCCCATGAGACAACTGCTGAAACGATTTATCAACACTAACTGCAAGTTAGTGGAGAGTTCCTCCTGAGTTTCTCAAAAGCTACCTTCAGATTCTCTGTGTTGTTATGAAGTTTCAATTCCTCAGAAATGGGGCTTGTTCAAATTGATATTTATATGCCAAGATACATATAGGAAATGACTTACCACTGTCAATTCTCTTTATTATTGATGTTACTTTGTCCCAATAGAAAGTATAAGTAATACACCTATTCCTTAAATGAAGAGCTAGAGCCCGTGACTACATAGTTCTTTATCTGTGATTGCAAAATGTCTTACTTGTTTCTGTTTTAGTACTATTCTGTATGCATGAGTTCACACAGTTGTTCGAGTAGTAACAGCTGCATAGAGCTCAGAGTCACTAAAACCCATCTGCCCTTGATCTAAAGATTTCCTGCAATAGCTATTGAAGCTTGCTGTCTTGCACAAGCAAACAGGAGTTTAGCTGGGGATATCTCCTAAGGAAGCAGGAGAGAGAGAAAGACAAAAAAGAAGTTTAAGCAATAGTTCCTGGTTGTTTTCTGAATATTGAGGTATGGTTCATAATTGCTGCTATTTAACAAATATTACATTGGATTATTGTGACTAGACTATTCTTGCTGCTGATCCTCTTGAGGCACCATTAGAGGTTACAGATTAAAGAATAGATCAAGTCAATGACATCTCTTAGCAACTAGATAGATGCATTGTTTCCAGGATTATGTGTCTTCTGCCTGGCTTTAGATCTCTCATTCCTGTCATAAATCCATCCACAGTGCTGCTACTCACTCTCTTCTCTTTCCTTCAAATTTCCCTATCCTTATGGGCTTAAGGGAACTGAATAATTGTAATCTTTGTAGGTGTAGACCAGTGGTGGGATTCAAATTTTTTTACTACCGGTTCTGTGGGCATGGCAGGGGAAGGATACTGTAAAATCTCCAGTCAGAGGTGATATTTGCCAGTTCTCCAAACTACTCAAAATTTCTGCTGTCGGTTCTCCAGAACTGGTCAGAACCTGCTGAATACCACCTCTGGTGTAGACATATCATGACACGTGAATATCCTTTCCAAGAGGTTTATTTTTACATACCATGTGCTGGTTTGCAGTATATTTCTTTACTGATGAAGGTTGATCGTAAAAGGCAGGAGTTATTTACCATCCTAAGTATCATTTCACCGAGCATCTTCTATCATTTGAGTATCTTATTGGAGGCCCTATAAAAGACTAAGAAGGAAACCAGTTCCCCAAAGAACAAACTCAATGCAAGAGCTTACAGAGAAAGTAAAGGAAGCTGAAGGAAGCACTTCTATTTTTATTGGTTGTTCATCAGAACCTGAAGATGGAGGCAGGGCTGGGCTGCTGGGGGTTCGCAGGGGTTTGGGAGAGCCCTGACTATCGTTCTGTGCTGTTTGGAGAACCCACAAATCCCACTCCTGGCTGGGCCCACCCACTCTGCCCTTCCCTTTCCAGGGGTCCCGACATGGCCCATGTTGGATGCAGATAAGTGCAAGGTGCGTGCAAAGGCTCAGAGAGGGTGAAAAATGGGCCTTCCACAAGTTCAGGAAGGCCGGAAATGGGCTGGAAATGGGCTCTGGCTTCCAGAGAGCCTCCAGAGTCCAGAGAAGCCAAAAACACCTCCACTGTGGTGCAGGAGGCCGACTAAGCAACGTCCACCATGGCCACTCCCACCCAGCAACTAGGCAGAGAACCCTTTGCTAAAATTTTTGAATGCCCCTGGATGGAGGAAATTATTCTCATTACTTGCAGAGGATGTGCCATGTATATTTTCCTTCCTCTGAATGACAAGATGCTGGAATTGCAAGCTTCGGCAGTGAAAGTGAGAGAGTTATAGACAAAGCTATCCACTCTTCAGATTCTCAGGGATAGGGTTAGAGTTGTAGAGAAGACAATAAGACACATTTAAATAGCAAAACTGTGCTAACTAGTATCATTGTACCACCCTTAGATCTCCAACACACCTTGCTCAGGGCAGCTGAGATAGAGTTAACTCAGTAGCTATCTAACTCCACCTCTGAAGATATCAAAGTTTCTTGTAGGAAAAGGACATCAAATTGTGATATATAGTAAAAAAAAAAAAAAGTTGGTCTTTTGATGGGACTGACCAGCTAGTGATATTCCAGGTCAGAAGGGAAAAAAGAGTCATTTGAGGCCCACCAGAAGATATGGTTTTGATAAGAAGAAGCTATGATGTTATTATATTGAGTTAGGATGTCACCAGCACCATTATGGCCTCCTCCAAAGAATGACTCGACTCATATACACCCTACATCAGCCCTTCACCCTACATCAGCCCTTCGGTGTCTTCTGTGGAATGGATGACATTGACACCATTTAAAACTTGCTTCTGTTTTGCTACTATTCTGTATGCATGAGTTCACACAGTTGTTAAAAGTAGTAACAGCTGCATACAACTCAGAGTCTCTAAAACCTTGAAGGGGGCTTCTCCAGAAATGTCAAATCATGCTGCATATGGCTTATTGAAGTTGGCAAGGATCGTCTGCACATCTCCTGATTTGTTGCTGGAGGCCCCATGGAATATCCTGATGAAAGTAATGACTCCTTCTCAAGTGCAAGATCCTCTACTGGTGTAAGAGGATTCAGACTTTTTTATAGGGCCATTTTCAGGCAATCCATTATTTGTCGAGAGAAAAATGAGAGGCTCAATGTTTGGAGATACAAGGTGTATAAGTGGTTTAGCTGCAGCAATTCTGACCAAGGTTTCTTTCAGATTTTCTAGTTTAAACAGTATATTGTTTTATTCATGGTAAAGAGCCAAAAATATTAATGAGGCCGACTTCTGTGCTGAGAACATCTTCATCAAATAAGGCTTACTCTTGCTCTCTCAAAGTTGGGAGTGAAGAAGCAGTAACCTTGGGAACTAGTATATTAGCTATTAAAGGTTTAACCTTTTCATCACAAAAATCTTTGGTAGGAAAAATTTGAAAGGAAGCTCGATATGCTCTCATCTTAAATAACATCAAAGTCTTCCAATGTGGGACATCTGGGAGCATTCGATATCACACAGATCAATCTGCCTACATTGGCAGTGAAGAAGCTGACCTAAGGAAGCTAGGATTGCTCTCCTTATATTCCAACATCCAACATTAAATGTATTAATAAAAATTCTGAGACCGACCTGTTGAGTTTGCAGTGAGTGATTTAATTTGGTGGGGGATTCTTTGCTGGCTTACAAGGAATCTTTAACGTTTGTAAGTTCCCCTCTCTTTGATAAGAGAGTTATTTGGCTCTTTGCTCCTTATTAGCACACTTGCCCAGAGTGGGAGATTTTACTATTTCTATTATAAAGGTTTTCGTGGAAGTAGAGCGTCCTTGCCTTTGAAGAAAAACAGCTGTGTGCCTTTTCAATTATTCAAATTCATGTTTTATGGCTGCAAGCTGGTCAAATATTGAGATAATAGTTTGTGCTGTGAGGAAGCATTGTGTTGTGATAAACTCAGTCAAATTTTGCCATGGTAGCCTCTCTATAGTCTGATTTTTCTTATTATTTTGGGGCTTCATTTCAACTCCTCTAGAATAAGTACTCAGGTTGTTATTTGTAGCGGTGACTGGCTACTGTTTTGCTTTTTTGCCAAGAAATGAGGAAAGGTCTAACAGTAGTTGTTTTGCCAGCTGTTTGAGGGTCCCATTCTAGTGCTTCAAATTTGCTAGAGGTTACTTACAGTTTACTTACAGTTCTCTTTCATGTGAAATGCTGCTCATCTCTGTCAGTTTAATGGTTCTGCATCAAGTAAATGCATCCAGCATAACCATTTCTTTATCTAATTCTAAAACATCATCTCCTCTTAAATGTATTGGCTCTTACCATTTGTATCTTTATCTCTCAAGGAGAAAAAAGAAGAGAGGGAGATTCTTGCTTCCTTTATGAAATATAACACAGGAGAATAAAGAACCTGATATTAATAGAAAATTGATACAATCCATAAGATCTAGGATATGGTAACTATTTAAAAACAATGGCAATCCTATGCAGTCAGCTTTTGGAGAGGTACCTAAGCAACACCTAAAAAGCACTAACATATCTATAGATAATGAGCTGTCTGTTCCTCCCCATTAATATATGTACATTCTTTCATTTTTCAGGTCCATACATCTGAAACTGAACTTTCCAACCTAATGTATTGTACATTATGGTTCGTGTCAACTTGTTTAGAAAATGGGTGTTAGGCATTCTCATTTTCATTTTGGTCCTGACTGTTTGTCTGTGGAAAGAAACACGGAAAGGAATTTACATCTCCATAAAAACAGAAAGCCAAACTGATCATCTGCAGCTGTGGAAATGGATTACAGTGAAATCAGAAATGGGCCAGAATAAAACTGTCAATGGCACAGGCAAAGTTACTTTGTCTAACAAAGAATCCCAGGTTAAATTTAATAATATTGAACCAAAACCTGAGAAAATCAAAGTCTGGAACAAGTATAGTTCTTCCCAATTTCTTCAACCTAGACTGCAAATGGCAAGAAAGCATTACTTAAAAATGAACAAATATCACGTGAAGTACACTGGACCAAAGAATACTGCTAAACTCAGTCCAGAACAAGTGTTGTGCCAACTTCAGAAAAAAATAAACTTTAGGATGATAACTGCATCTGATGCCCCTTTTAATACACCTGAATGGGAGACATACCTGCCTAAGACAAATATCAGCATGGAACTAGGGAAGCTGGGCCAATGTGCAGTCGTATCCTCTGCAGGATCTATTAAGGACTCACATTTGGGAGCAGAAATAGGTTTGTATTTGTGTATTTTCCTGTTATAACAAAAGCAACTAAATATGATTTAAATGTTTTCCTGTTGAGTTTTCCATGTAACGGGGCAGGAAAAGCTAGTTTATTCTGAGCTAATTGGTAGAATCTGTGGAATGATTTGTCTCTGGAAATTGTGGGGGGCCCAACACTGAAGGTTTTTAAGAAGAGATTGAACAGCCATTTGTCTGAAATGGTGTAGGGCAGGGGTCCCCAACCCCCAGTCTGCGGACCGGCACTGGTCTGCAGCATGCCAATAAATGGGCCACGCAAACAAGCGAAGCCCCATCCACGCATTGCAAGCAGCATGTGAAACCACAAGCCCTCCAATCCACGGAAAAACCTCTCTCCATGGAACCGGTCCCTGGGGCCCAAAAGGTTGGGGGCCTCTGTTATAGGGTTTCCTGCTTGAGCAGAGGGTTGGACTAGAAAACTTCCAAGGTCCCTTCCAACTCTGTTATTCTGTTGTTCTGAATGCAAGTATGAGGAGGGCACAAGCTTGGACAAGACTGAAAACCCAGCTGGAAGCCCTAGCCAATTTTCCTTGCTATCAACATGTCCAGATTAAGGTTCACTTGGTCGTTCCTCATATACTCCAGTTATTTGCAATCAATCAGATTCACAGTTGTGTTTCTTTATTGCAAAAGAGGCAGCTGCAGGCATTGGATAAAGCTATCTGTGCCTAACTTTACATCTTAGTTAAAGGAGTAGTTTATTGTATAAGAGATTAATGCTCTTGTGTTTTAAATGTGCTCTTTCTCTGCAGAAATTATTTTTTCAAAGGCTTAACATTAATGTAGAAGCAGATCAACATAAATTAATTATAAGGCTATGGGATAGCTCAATGGCTAATACGCTGAGCTTGTTGATCACAAAGGTCAGCAGTTCTGCAGTTTGAATCCATAGCACCATGTAACACAGTGAGCTCCCGTTACTTGTCCCAGCTTCTGCCAACCTAGCAGTTCGAAAGTATGTAAAAATGCAAGTAGAAAAATAGGGACCACTTTGGCGGGAAGGTTACAGCATTTCGTGCACCTTCGGCATTTAGTCATGCCGGCCACATGACCACGCAGATGTCTTTGGACAGCGCTGGCTCTTTGGCTTTGTAATGGAGATGAGCCCCGCCCCCTAGAGCTGGAAATGACTAGCACGTATGTGCGAGGGGAACCTTTATGTTTATACATTTTTCAAATACATGACAAGAACATTGAGGTGACCTTGAAACTTGTTCCTGGTTTTTTTCTGTAGAACACAGGAGGATTTCATAGCTGAACTACTGAAACTTTAAAGACTTTGCTCTGAGGTGCATTCAGTTCACATTTTCTGTTTCTTTCAGACAGCCATGATGCAATCCTGAGGTTTAATGGGGCCCCTACCAAAGGGTTTCAGGTAGACGTTGGTGAGAAAACTACAATACGTCTTGTTAATTCTCAGGTAGGTCAGCTAAGTAACAAGAGAGGTGGGAGGAGTTGGTTTTCACATGGGCTAGATCTGCAAGCTCTCTTGACCAGGCCCCCTTCCAGGTTTTTTGCCAGCAGAGCCACAAAGAAGATAAATGCCAGATGAGGGAGGGTTGTTGGGTCCGAAAGCTAGTACCATTTCTGCATCCAGTCCAACATTGGTCCCTTCCCACTATGGCTGGCTGGGGGAGTGAGCAGCCAAGAAGTAGCTCTTTTCCCAGCCTAAGCCTTCTGGTTACTCTAAGGATAGCCCTGTGAATTGGACGCTTTCTGTTCCTTCTGCTAGATGAATTTCTGGGCTGCTGGGGGGAGGGGAGCAGGGGGAGGATGGCAGCAGAATATAGTAGCCTCTGTGTCTTGGCCATATTGTGCTGTGTGACCAAAAGGGTGAAATGGGTGGAGATAGGCTGATGGGAGGAGTTGGGATGGAGTCAGTTAATGCAGAGAAGAGTAGCATGAAGTTTTTGCCTAATAACTCTGTAGTCCTTGTTTAACAATCATCACTAGGACTGCTATTGTAAAGCTGCACAGTCCCATGATGTTTTGCTTAGTGATGGAAATGCCAGTCTCAGGATCATAATTCAAAGTCTACCAATATTAGTTTAATTAAATGTTAATTGAGTGTTATTAAGTTAAATGTAGCTTCTGTCCAGTATAATAGTCCATAGGGTTAGGGTTGTTCAATGCTATGGCAAAATTTCAAATGATAAAAATTTTGCCAGAGGGGAGGTGCCTGTGTGTGTGTGTGTGTGTGTGTGTGTAAAGGTATTTGAGATATTTCTATTACTGTTTCAGCAAATAAAGTAGGGGGAATGTGTATGCATGCAAAGGTTCAAGATCATCCTGGTTGTTCTTTTCTGTACTTTTTCTGGGCTCAACTTTTTTTTTTTTGGTCACCACACTAGACTCTAGAAAAAGTACAGAGAAGAACAACCAGGATGATTAGGGAACTGGAGACTAAAACGTATGAAGAATGGTTACAGAAAATGGGCATGGCTAGTCTAGTGAAGAGAAGGACCGGGGAGACATGATAGCAATCTTCCAATATTTGAGGGGCTGCCACAGAGACAAAGGGGTCAAGAGAACAATCAACCAATGGAACAGCTTGTCCTTGGAAGTTGTGGGAGAGCCATCACTTGAGACTTTCAAGAAGAGATTGGACTCCCATCTATCAGAAATGGTGTGGGATTTCCTGCTTGGGCAGGGGGTTGGACTCGATGACCTACAAGGTCCCTTCCAACTCTGATTATCTGTTATCTTGGAGGTGTTGGAAATACATTTCAGATCTTTGCTTAAACATTCAAAATTAGAATTGGACTAAATCTGTACTATGTGTGTAGTAGCTATATCACTCACAGAGGTGTTTAGTTGTTCATTTCAATATTAACTGTGCATTCATGTCCTTGAATACTTTTTGCTCACAGTATGTAATTTACTATGACTGAAATCTCACTGAGGCAAGAAAAGAAAATGTAAAACTCATGCAGTAGTAATTTGTTCCTGTTAATTATACTGTCACATAAATTAAGGGCTGGTGAGTCATACACACACACACACACACACACACACACACACACACACACAAGATCTTCCATGCTACCTCAAGTCCTACACAGAGAAGTTGTGTAATGCATCTGGAAAGCATCAGGTTGGAGAAACTTAATTTAAAATAATGGTCCAAATAAAGCCATGTCATCTGACTCAAGTTAGCTTTCTACAATCTCAGATACATGCACTTCAACTTTCAGAATTCTAATGAACTCTGAACTCTGGGAACTGGATTGCATATACATGGAGGACATTCAGATTGGGAATGGATGCCCCAGGCTTTTCAAATAGGGAAGAAGGCAAAATGATCTCCATCTCTTTTATCATTCCTAGTTTGTTACTGTTGAAGAAAAGACATTTGTTTCAGATGTACAATTCAACTTTGGAATCATCATTATGTGGGATCCAGCACCATATCATGCCAGTATTTATGAGGTAAGTTTCATTGGTGTACAGTATACAGGATGTTAGTGGTGGGCCATGGGATAGTACCATATTTCATATGTGCTTCCTTTTAGTATTTCAGTGAGATGTTTTCTGGTCTCCAATTTAAATGAACTCCTTTTAAGGAGTTTTCTTTTAATATAGCCTTACTATCAGCATCACACAAAATATTCCTGCTTGGGAGATTGGCAACAGTCACTTAACGTAGTTTATAGGTTTTCAAACAAAGCTGTTCTCAAAGGTCTGAGTATTGTATTGCTGGTGAGACAGACACAGAGTAGCAAAGCATAGTATAAACATTTTTTACTGCAGTGGTGGTATTCTACCGGGCCGGTAGCACCGATGAGCAGTGGAGACTGAACCGGTTCTCCCACCCATCCGCCCATACTAACCTTTATTCCCTGCCTTTGAAGTGCAGCTGCTTTGCACGGCACAGCAGATTGCTGCACGTCAGCTGTTGAAGTGACAGGAAGAGTGTAGGATTGCAGGAGGTGAGTTGCAAAGCCTCTGTGCCTGCGCAATGTGTGTGTTTGGTGCGCATGCACACACAAAGTGCGCCCACTAAGCCACGCCCACCAAACTAGTGGTAAAAATTTTTGAAGCGCACCACTGCCTTCCTATGCTTCCCAAAAGCATTACTGTGTCGCTTGGAAGTAAAGAACACAATATCTTTCATCTGAACTCTTTTCACTGTTAATTTGATTGTTTCACTTTAGGCTTTGTAAAGAAAAAAACTTTTTGAATTTAACATATCTATAACCACAAGAGAGAGCTCTTCTACAAGGAATCATTGCTTAAGACTTACCTATATATATTTTTTTGTTTATTCTTGAACTTTATCTGGGAAAAAGATCCAAGGACATTTAGACCAATAAAAGTACATTTAAATTCTATTAAATTTTAAGAATTAAATAATAAAATCTCGGAAGAAGACTAGATGAGAATAATTATAAACAAGCCAGAGGGAAATATAAAGTTGATGACTGGATAGCAGATAAATCAGAAAGGAAATATGATTGAATAATGATTAAAGAGAAACAATGTGGAATTTGATAAAGGGAATTTATGTGTTTATATGGAAATGGGATAAATTATAAGTATGTGATATAAAGCAATATGTTACCTGCCTTGTAAGGATCTACAATGGAAAGAGGTTTTATGTTTTTAATGTTTAATGATGTTTTGTCTTGTTTGTTTGTTTGTAAAATCAATAAAACTTGTTTTAAAAAAAATTCTATTAAATTTTGTAATGATTTAATGATATGTTATTTCTATTTTATGGTGTGTCATTGCTGTAGGGATAGCAGAAGGAGCTCCTGTAAACACACACATACACTTAAACACACATAATTACTTGAGATTTCAGCAACAATTGTTATAAGATTTGCAATTAAGCACTTTCTTTATTCCTGCTTTTTATACTACATCATATAAATGTTTTATATAATGTTTAAGAAAGTTGTAAATGAATGTTACATTTAATATCTTTAATATCCTTTAACAGTATAATGTTCATTTTTAAATATGTTTAATGAAAAGACATTTTAAGGTCAAATCTGCCCTTTACTTGCTAGAAATGAGTAAGAGGAGATAGGATAAAAGGATAAAAATTCTTCAAGAGTTGGAGAAATCCAACTGGAAATTGGTTCCTCTGTGTGTGTGTAAGATTGTACTTGTGATGAAGATTGGAAGCTACTTCTTTATATATATATTCTTTTCTATGTACACTTTATTCTTTTTTTAACTTTCTTTTGTATTTTCTTTTCTTTCTGTTATTAAAACTTTCAATAAAAGTATTTTTTTAAAGGGTCATGTTTCCAAAGATATTTGTAACTCATTTTCATTTCTGGCTTTAGTGGATTCAGAAACCAGACTTCCAATTCTTTGAAAGCTACAAGCATTATCGGGAGAGACATCCCAACCAGCCTTTTTATATCCTGAATCCCTACATACAATGGCAACTCTGGGACATCCTTCAGGAGAATTCACTGGAGGATATTCAGCCAAATCCACCCTCTTCTGGCATGCTTGGTAAAACTTTGGTTTCTCCTTTTGATTTGTATCCCTATTTTAGAGAAATAAAGTACAAAGATGATGCTATATAAAATATACAGCTAGTCTTCAACTTATGACCACAATTGAGCCCAAAATTTCTGTTACTAAGTGAGACATTTGTTACTTAGCAACAGAAAGTTTTGCCCTAATTTACTATCTTTCTTGCCACTGTTGTTAAGTGAATCACTGCAATTGTTAAGTTAAGTAAGTTAGAAAAAGATTGATATGGAATCCTTCAAGTTTTCTATCATTAGAAGTTTCTGGGCAAAAGAAAAGGGTTTTTTTTTCCTTTTCTTTGTGTTGTTTTGTATTACTATTGATATCTTTGCTGTTAAATTGTCTCTTTAACATACTGGCAACTAAAATTATCTCTCTTTTTCTCTTCTCTAGGCATTGTTCTTATGATGCACTTCTGTGATGAAGTGAATGTTTATGAGTTTCTCCCCTCTAAGAGGGAAACAGGTGTTTGCCACTATTATCAGGATACCTTTGATCAAGCATGCACATTGGGTGCCTACCACCCACTGCTCTTTGAAAAAAATATGGTGAAGCACCTCAGTCAAGGCACAGATGAAGATATTTACAATTATGGAAAAGTGACTTTACCAGGCTTAAGGAAAGCACAATGCTAGGTGTGTGAATCCCATATTCTGGGCTTGGAAGCCTGTCTTGAATCACAAGGCACTTTAATGTTTAAAAGTAAGAGTGCATTTCTTCCATTCAATTTGCCTTAATTCAGGATTGTAACATGTGCCATAGACATATTCAGCATTCTGCAGAATGCATTTCTAATGAGTGCCAAGAATGTAATTTACCCATCAGTTATTAAAGAAATACAATGAAAAATCTGATTATTTACTGGCCCAGGTTCTTCCGCAACCTCCTCACTGTCCAAGTCTGGTGAGCCAAAACAGGGGCCTCAATGACTCTCAGAGAATTAATGACCCACCTTCAAAGTGCTAATCACCAGATGACTGCAAAAAATATAAACCCTTCCATTCCCCAGCATTCAGTCAGAACTGAGAGTGCTTCTTGGAAAAGAAGTGAAATGTCTTCAAGAAAAAAGAAAGTCCAGTTGCCTGCTGGGACAACCATGACCTGGATGACTGACACTCTCAATAAACACTGGAAATTAAAAACAATATATCATTGTTATGGGAATAAATCCCAGCACAGAACTCAAGCCTTTACTAAGACATTTTGCAATCCAAAATGAAGGACGAGATTACTTTTTTTTCCATATTTTATCCAAAAGTTAATTCTCCAGCATTTATAAAGGTAGCAGAGTAGTGTAGCAGGCATGGGATATGCCACTTTCCAATATCTTATTGCTGCTAGTCCTCAGCATTTACTGCCCGAAGTGAGTGCCCTACTCTGTTGGACCAATTCTGGAGGAGCTGAACAAATGCTATTCCAAATTGGATGCTGCAGATACTATAAACAGTGCCAAATTCTGTTAAATGCCTGATATGCTGTGATACTTTCAATATCATTAAAATAAACCCAGTATTAAGAATTGGAAAGTAATTTTTACAAATCTAGTTGGGTGCATCTTCCCTATGTGTCATTAAAGTTGGAGTTATGAAAAATGTGCTTTATTTTGTTTCCAGAATATGTTTTGCAGAAAAAGACTTTTTCTACAGATTGTACCATTTCTATATAGGCTGGATAATCTTGAAAATACATGTGTTTTTCATAAATGATGTTGAAAAAGACCAAGTCAATTAATGCTGTATGACCTTACACAGGAATGTTGCTGTTTTTCACATATGAATATTCATATGCACACTCACTAGTTCATACACAATACACTTCCTCTGAGCACATGGACCAGACTGTTTCATTTTAGCTGATTCATCAAGAGAACTAAACTGCTAAGACAAGAATGTGTTGTGACAGCTTGTTTAAGTCACTTTCCAAACTAAAATATTGGCAGGGGTACTGTTTTTGTCATGCTGTGGTTCCCCAACTCTCCACCCTCTTAGTTTCAGTGAGGAAAACACTGGCAGAGGCTTTTCTGAGTTCAGTCTGATGAACTGAAAAGCAGTAGCTCTAAACCAGGGATGTCAAAGTGATGTCATCACATAATGTATTGCTACTTTTCTTCTTCGCTAAATTGGGCATGGGCGTGGCCAGCACAGGATGTATCTGACCCATGGGACGGGAGTTTGACAGCCATGCTCTAAACCAGGAGTCTCCAACCTTGGCAACGTTGTTCCAAACTATCCTCTGATCACTGTTTCAGGGCCTGCAACTGTGCAACTGAGGAGCACTTGGTCTAATTACACTGGCAACATTTTTTGTAGCCATAATTAGTACCTCAGGATGATCAGACCTCCTTTTATCAAACAAAGAGGAGCACTTGCATCCATCCTAGCAACCTAATGAATATTTCAACATCATTTTGTTATGTTTGTTTCACCTTGCCACTGTTTCAAATATAACTTTTTGTTTTTTGCCTTCCTGAGGCTTGCTTTGATACTTCGACTTTGTTCAGATATCTTCATATTGATAGATATGAAAAGGCCACTTTGGGTATTATTTCTGAAGTAATTTGCTACATTGACTTTAATACTGTTGTTTTAAAAGAAAAACAAATATATTAATATAATGTTGTCAGCGAACAATTAATATTTTTTCCAGGACAAAAGAGTATTCTAAAATATTGTGATTACTGATCATCCGTGACTTACAACAGTTCAGTTAGAGACCATTCAAAGTTACAATGGCACTGTTTTTTCAGGTGTTTTATGACCGTTTATCACAATTATGACCTTTTCAGCATCCCCATGATCCTGTGATCAGAATTCAGATGCTTGGCAACTGGTTCATATTTATGACCATTGCTGTGTCCCAAGGACATGTGATTCCCCTTTTGCAGACTTCTGACAAGCAAAGTCAATGGGGAAGCCAGATTCACTTAACAACCTGTGTTACTAACTTATCAACTGCAGTGATTCACTTAACAACTGTGGCAAGGTAGATCATAAAATGGAAGAAAATTTCTCACTTAACAAATGTCTCACTTAACAACATAAATTTTGGGCTCCGTTGCGATCGGATGTGAAGGACTACCTGTACAGTGGTAACATTATGGTCATACCATAGAACTAGGCTAGCCAAACTTTTACGTGGTTATTGTGCTATCCTTATTCTAGCTACTTTTTGGTTTCATGTATTCCTTATGTACAGTATGTAACCAGAATGTAGCCCATATATGAAAGAGGGCCAACATCCATTTGAATAACTTTGTAGTTGATGAAATAATAAATTCCTCATAAGATTCCAATTCATTATCAGCTTTAAGTACAGTATGTAATTATACATAACAAAATTTAAGATTTTGAGGAATACAGATGCAATTTGTAGAAGGTAACATCAGTATTTTACCAGTATATATAAAACCAACTGGATAAACACCAGCTGTTTTACAATTAATCTATATACATTTATTTCAATGTCTTTAGTCAGATCACTGTCTAATTTTTCAAGTATCTTAATAATATGAAGGGGAAATATACAACTTCCCAAGACACTGAAGAGGTATCTGTGGAGGTTGCACAAAATAGCCCCCCTCAACTAAAATTTGGATAATTAGAGCAAACCATAATTATGCATTCTTTCTATATGAAATGTGAATTACTCCATCCAGCCACAGCATCTGAAACAAGTATATAATGTCCTCTTTAATCAAATTTACATACTTGAAAATATTGTTTTCCAAAAATCATTTGAAGGCAATGAAGTCATTCAATAATGTTATATTTTTAATAGTCTTGGATCAAAAGAACTACTCAAGATTCAAATTCCAGCCAATATTAAATACTTTTCATTTTTGCTCCAAAATGTATCTTGTCTCAAGGGTGTTTCTTTGCTATTTTTATATGCCTGTAAAGAATTGTTCTATTAAGAAGTGTTTGGATTTTTTTTCCAGTTTAAATCTGTAAAGCATCAATGTCTGATTTGTCAATAATGTTCTTTAAAATAATTTGAAATAACTCTGAAGGACCCAAAGATGTAAAATTTGTAATAAAAGTTTTGTAAAGTCATTGTTTCTAATCTTATTTGCTTCGTGACATTTCATTAGCTGAAGTGAAATTAGAATTTGAAACTGTATGGATATGAAGTGATTCAATTGAAATACACTGGCAGGGCTGTCAAACTCGATTGCATTGCAGGCATATCAGCACTTTTTTTGTCTTTGCAAAGCTGGAGTGGGTGCAGCCTGTCCGCCTGTTTGACACTCCTGAAATAGAGACTGAAACTGAAACTGAAGAAGAAATTATGTAGAGCCCTTCTCTTCTCTGCTGGAAACAGCAAGCAAATGGTCTTCTGCTTCTCCAGCTAAATGCCCTACAATAACATTTATTAGAAATGGAAGAATTACAGATAAAATTTGCTAAATAGAAAAATTTTGGACATGCAAATATACCAGGAAATCTATTACCTTATTATCTTAGACATAGGAAACACAAAAATGCCCTCATTAAAGAGTCAAAACTGTTACATTCAAGATCAGAAATAGTAAAAGAATTGGCAGTTTTTTTTAAAAAAAATAATTATATTCCAACAATAATCTTGATGAAGCGGCTGTGGTTAAATGTACTGTAAAGTCCATTTGAAAAGCATGGTAATGGTGAACATAGGCAAATACCAAGTACATCTATAACTCTTCAAGAAATGAAAAAAGTACAGAGCCAGCTTTCTATATTGTAAAGATGCCTTGTCATTTCACAGGTCCTAAAAATGTAGCATCTTATCTCATTGGTAGCCTGTTGCCAAGGCATTTTGTGATTCAGGCTGTCATTTCTGGCTCCTCCTCCAAATGATAAATAAAAACTATAGATTTTACATGAACCCTGACCAATATCCACTGCATTTGCTTTTAATTGTTTACTAAACCCATCCCCCATGGGGTCATCATTTCAAATATATTTCCTTACCTAGATAGTGAAACAGAATAACCAAGGGCAGCCAAAAAAATTAATAATAATGGGATCAGGAGTGACTTCCAGTTTCTTCTACATTGAGTTTCCTTGTACAAATCTAATAGCATCAGAAATCTTCTTTCCTCCCTTCCCCCTTCCCTTCTCTTTCCAGCAGACAGATAAATGATTGCTTTGGGGCTGGGGGCAGGGGGGAGGGTAGCAGCCTGGCTGGGAAACTGTCACAGAACATTAAAAATGAAGGTTGTGTGATCGCAACAGGAGTCAGTAGCACTGAAAAAGTCACATCATCCCCAAATTTCATTCTCTTGGGAGTCACAAGTCCTGTATTTTCATTCTGTAAGTTAACCCATTTGAATTCAAAAATGGTTGCCCTATGATGCACCATTTCACCCAGCTAAAAGTCGTGACAACAAGAAATTTTGTAGCATGTAGATTTTCATTTAATTGGGTGTGGAGGGAAGCATAGCAATTCAGTTATTTTGTCTTCCTGTCCAAAAACTCACTGCAGTGCAGTAGCAGTATTGAATCTTAATTGATTGATTGAATAGATATTTTAAAATAAATGTGTTGATTAGTTGAGCTTCCTTTTATATATCATCTCAGTATTATGCATAACAATATTGAATGTTTCAATGGCAACTTCACCCCCTTTTATATAAGTCCATGGAAGAGGAGGGCAACCCACATTACTTTTTGTGAGGTCAGCATTATTGGCTTCCTTGGTAAGCCAGTAATTTACCATGCCTCAGCTTGGTAAAAGATGTGTAGGCTATGGGGAAGTGGTGTTTCTATTGGCCTACTTTTCTCCCTTTCCAAGGATGGAAGACAAGCATATAAACAGGTCTATGTAGTTGAGATATATGAGAGCTTATTTCAATTGATAATATCCCTGTAATTTCATGGCTATCTGCAACTCAGAATTATTTATATGGTTTTGTGACCTCACTGCAAAAGTATACAGTACATAGAAAATATGTAGAACAGTAGTCTAAACAAAAGATAGAAACCCCTCAAAAGAATGCATTGGTTGTTCACATGAAGTCTGTTTGTCATCGTCTTACTCAATAGCTTTTTATATCCAAATAATTGACAACTTTTCACATAGGCTCTTTCTGTTGCTGAGAAACTAGTATTTTGCAATAGATCTAAGGACTGATACACCAGATAGATTCAGTAGTCAGATAGATGTTCTTGTTAACAATTTTTAAATGTCACTTTGGAAACTGTAGGCAGTACGTCAGAGGGGGCTTTCTGAAACTTCCTCTTCCTGCATGTTTTGTATACTGATAAGCAAACATTCTCTAAAACTTTCAGCTGGCAATTTTCTACAGCATTTCCCCATGGCTAATAGATATAAATGAAATATTTGTACAAACACAGCATGTGCATTGCTTCATAGACTTCCATTAATATGGCACATTGTATGATTCGGTGATTCAGTTCAATTACCTGCACGTGTAATATGGGGAAATGACATGATTAAATATAAGTATCATCTTAGATTAAAGGAGACTCAGGTGTTTATCTGTACTAAATATGTTTAGAATGGTTAAGTGAGTTTACAAAAATCAGAAGTAAGGGTCATGAAAGTGGGATTTAACAAATAAATAAGCAAGCAAGCTAGAGATCACTATCTGAAAATTATTTTAACAATGGTGTACTATAAGTATTTACTTAAAGTAGTCTGGTAAACCTCTATTTCATGGAAATTCATTGTCATATTGTCATTGTCAAGCTTCTGAAACATTGAATTGAATACTGAAAACCCTACATTAAGGACTACTTTGTGGTAATAAAGATTTTTAAAAACATGTTAATTTATCCACCTTTATTATGGTAGTGCCTGGTC